AAGATTTAAATTATTAAGGGAAGGTAAAAGGGGCAAGCGGTAGCGTAGTTGATTGAGGGACTATGCGGATGCGGGTTCGAATCCCGATTAGGTGGATTTTTTTTTAATTTACCTAATCATTCCAGCCGCACTATGACCCTGGGGTCGACTAAGCCTGTAACAGAAATGAGTACCAGGAATCTTCCTGGGGATAAAGGATGGCCGGCGTGTAGGGCTGACATCCTCACCGCCATCTGTGAGCCGACTCTCTAGGGAAAGTGTGGGAGCCTCTATATCTCATAACCCTATGAGCCTTCACGGACTGTTACAGGGATAATTTTTAGGGGATAGTAAGAAGATAATATGTTTAAATGTTTCAAAATATTTTGTGCACTTCCAAAAAATAGGCATGTTATTAGGCCAGTCACGATAAGAATCGCGTTGCCAGGACATTCAGCAGACGGGGGAAGACGAGGAATATGTAACAAAATTTAGCCAGAAAATCTGAAGTCAAGAAAGTTTATACGCCTAGGCGCAGATGCGAGTAGAAGAATAATATTAAAACGAATCTTAAGAGTGTGTGGACTGGTCACGTGTCGTTCAGGATATGGCACAGGGGTAGCTCTTATGGGTCTTCTTGGTTTCATGAGAACCGGATCATTTCTTGACCTGAGCAACTATCAGCGTCTCAAGAAGGTTTGTGCCCCATGGAGTTAGTTTAGTGTTTCGCTTGCCATTACTCACGTGACTCATTCTGAAACAGCAGTTATTGAGCCGTTCTCTGAGAGATTTCCTTCTTGGTTGTGTCCTGTGTTACTTAGCAACTTATTCTCAATTGCTCAGACTATGCAGTGAGATTCTTAGCTGTTAATTGGGATCAAAATAGAAAAATGTTTCTGCCTGTTTTTGAAGCATTATCCCAGCATTCGGCAGGAGGGACTGAGAAGAGCCACGAAACTTGTGTGATGGTTACATATTTGTAGGATCTCCCAAATGAGAAGCAGAGGGGCAAATGCACCGCCATGATCTTTGGGATTCTGTTGTACTGAACCCTTTCAGTGCGTGCTGCATACACTGTGACTGACACTGAACTGGGAAAAGCTGCAACCTACCGCCATCATGGTGTAGGGTGCAGCCTCTTGTATCTTAAGCTGCTGCACAGATGTGCTGAGTTCCCTTCCTTGTTTCTCTTCTATGCCACTTCACAGTAAGTCATGTGGGATTCTTTAAGTTAAGGATATTACCAAGAAAAGTTTGTTATTTTCTAACCAAATATGACAGTGTCAGTACCGGAGACAAAGAAATTAGGTTTACCTATTTCGTTATTGCCGGTCACGGTAGCTGAGCGGTCTAAGGCATGCACTGTCTTCGCTCGCTCGGAAAGCGGGATCGTGGGTTCGAATCCCACTGAGGCCATGGATGTTTGTGTGCGTTTTTCTGTGTTTGTCTACAGGTAGAGGCCTTGCGACGAGCTGATCACCCGCCCAAGGAGTCCTACCGACTGTGTAAGATCTAGAAAAACCGAAGTGAACGGAGAAGTTCATGGAGGTAGGCCTAGGCCCACTGGAGCTGTAGTGCCACGGAAAAAAAAATCGTTATTACCTCTCCCAAGATCGAAATTGCTTTTCTACATATGCACAAATTGCTCGGTAAAACAGTTAAACGGAAACTGCTCATGGGTCCGTTGGTAGCTCATGTATGCCCACACGCCTTTCATTTGCGAGCTCTTGCACTGATGATTTTGTGCAGGATTGTGGCGACTGTTCTTGATTGTAGCATGAACATGCGGAATGTGATAGACCCACTTGTTATGATGATAATACGGGATCAAATAAGTAATTAGTACGACAAATCACAAAATGAATATATCCTTAAGCATCAAATAGACCACGCATATGTGGATATGAACGAAATGCCAGAAACAACAGACTGTGGTACAGGAAGCTGCTCATCAATGAATTCCGCAAAATACTCAAGAACACACGATAAAGAAACCTGGCACATATGGCCGCGCCATAGCTCAAGCGGTTAGTCACTGGCTTACCACCGCGGCGGCCCGGGTTCGATCCCGGATCTGGTCAAGTGGGGTTTGTGGTGGACAAAGTGGCCCTGGGGCAGATTTTATCCGAGTACTTCGGTTTCCCCTGCCAATCTTCATTCCACCAATTGCGCCACAATCACCCTCACCTATCATCTGGGGCTGGTACAATAGGCCAGAAGCGGTTGCAGTACAAGGGAATGAGTCCCACCCCACTAGCAATAAAGAAACTGGCACATCCTTCAATAGCTGGCACCAACTCATAAATGTATACTGCAAGCCGAACATGAAGTTCTTTCTTAGAATGTAGAATATCGGGTATAAGATAATAAATCACCGATCACATTGGCCGCGTGATCTCAGGCAAGAATTGTCTTTGCCCGCTCGTGGGTTCGAATTCAACTTGAGGCACGGATGTGGGTCTTCCTTCCTTCTGTGTTTGTGTTGTTCACTGTGAGTAACGGGCCTTGCAACGGGCCGATCCTCCGTCCAAGGAGTCGTACCGTCTGTAAGATTCATAATTTCAAAATTAATTCAGAATGGGATGAGGTCAAGTTTAGGGAAATGAGAAGGCAATAAACCACAAGAAGCCAGCGAGTAACCGCTTGGTTATGGCACGGCCTGCTCTTCATATTAGTTAACTAGAAGGGTGAGTTAACCACAATAACATTTCAGTATAGTCTTATGTATTTTTACGAGTGAAACCAACCTACTGTTTTATCCTTTGGAGAATGATGTATTTTAATATGCAGTAAGCTATAATTTGAACTAACAGAATGAGTGGTATATAATTCTCGTGTACTTGACCGTGTCTTATTGTTTTTTTCTTTCTTTTCCTGTTGTGTTTTGGAAGACGTAAATTGTGGGCTCCGAGGTTGGTGCCTCATGACAACAATGCGGTGATTAAGTTGCGCCGTATTAATTAGAAAACCCAAGCACTGCCAATCTATGGTCTACTTAAACAAAAAAAGGAAGCAGCTCTCCTCCCACTCTGACCTCAATTATGGGCAGAGACGAAAACAATCGGTAGGTGCATGTGAGGGAATCTGGAGGCAGAAGAATATTGAGGATCAGGCCGGAACACAATCAAATTAGAAGTAATCCCAGCAGAGCAAATGAAACGTGTGAACAGGGAATGAAATTGCTGCAGGGATGGGGGAGGTGAATGAAGTTAAATGAGGTAGTTTTCTTTCGTCCAAAATCTTGAGAATTATCGTACCGCTTTGAACCGTCATTATGCAGAAAGCAGCCAGCAGAGGGCTAATTAAAACGAGGCATTTGGCTCCCAAACTAAACTTTTCGTAAACGTTTCATGTATATCGCTGTGTGTACCTAATAAGGGGCAATTACGAATGCAACCGTTGGGTATTAGCTTTGGCTTGAACAGTAATTGTCCGCTCTGAAACTGCGTTAGAAAAAAGTTAATGTACAAATTGCCCAAGTATTCAGAATTGCTTTATTATTTGTGTGCCTTACCTCTGAAAATATCTTCCATTGTCTGTCGGTTACATTAGGTCGTTCACACTTACAGACTAATCAGTCAGTGTTTATCATATTTGTGGCTAGGAATAGCAAGTGGAGTGTAGCTGCCTGTAACTGAAAAACTGGGGTTCCGGGTGCGAAGGCGGTCATACCATACGCCATGGCTGATAAAGCCATGATGGGGCTGAAACATTACATTACTAGTGAGTGATAATAATGTTGGATATTTCCATGTGGAATTTGTGAGAAAGGATTCCTTTTCCTGCCAGTAAGCCCATGTTTCCATGTCAGAATAAAATTTGCATTGTTCTCATGATCTGCATGTAGGTGTTTATCAATAAACATACAGTTTTTGTGCGGAAAGTGTGACTTGTTATTGCCGTTCTCCACACCAGATGTCATATACATACTTACAGAGGGGTAAGCTGGAAGATTTGTTATGAAATCGTATACGTTTTTGTTTTGTAACTTGGCAAAAGCGGCCCTTCTCCGTTCTCGGTTTTCTCACACTATGCTGTAACACTGTAATTGATTATTTGTTTTTTATACAGTTTCATTTTTTCGTTGACAATCTTTCTCTGTTTTACCCTCGGTGGAGCTGCATAGTCATCGCTTGATGCATCAAACAATTGCGAACTGACGAGCTGTACCATAAAAGCTGGTCACGCAGTAACGTAGTTGGTTGAGGCACTATGCTAAGAGCGAAAGGTCGCGGGTTCGATTCCCGATGAGGTCACTGGATTTTTTCAATGGACCTAACCTTTCCAGCCGCACTATGGCCCTGCAGTCGACTCAGGTCCTAACAGAAGTGAATACCAGGAATCTTCCTGAGGTTAAAGGCTTACAGCATCACTTCAATCTGTGAGCCGTTTGTCTAGAAAATGTGGGAACCTCGTCTTCTCACAGCCCTATGGGCCCTCCACGGCCGGCCTATCACAGAGATAGCTTTATCTTTTACCATAAAGGCCAGGTAGGGTGTCATACGAACCAGACTGAGATAAATGGAGACACCCGGATGATATGTAATTTCGTCGACTAGTTTAAACTACTACCTCTGCATTTGCCTGAAGGGACTGAGGAAAAGCACAACAACCCTCAGTATGTGACGTGACCGATATTTGAAAAGGACACCTCCTGAATACAAGTCAGAAGCTTTACCGCTTACGCCTGTTTCGCTCGATTTGACGAAATGATTATATACCGGTATATGGGTGAGATTAAAGTGATGCTGAAAATATTAAATATTTTTAAACTCCAATGCATAGCGGGAACTCCTTCTCAGGTGGTAAAGCTGCCGGGTCGTGAAGCTGACCACTCATCTCCATCTGGTACCTGGGCCAAGAATGGTGGAGCTACACCTCCGCCCTGTCACACGTCTTCTTGTTTTGGTGCTTAATAATTACTTAAGCAGAGGGCAACCGTAACTTTACCTTTTACCAAATATTGCATAGTTTATTTGGTTGTTCTGACACGTGCCTCTGTACTCGTGTGTTGCAGATCCGTGACGTGTTACCAGCAAGCTGGCCGCGAGTACAGTCAGCAGTATGAATCCCCACTACCACCCCTACACGGAGTTGAACTCTCCACATTCTCCGCCCCCGGACAACAACAACTATCATGGCCACCCCCAGCACGGCCACCCTCCACACCCTCACCACCCGGGCTCGCAGTCACACGGCAGCACCATGAGCAACGGACACGTGATGGGGCCTAACCATCACCACCACCACCACCCTCAAGGGAGCACGGGCCCCCCACCACACCCCGGACCACACCACGACCACCATCAACACCCACACCACCAGCACCCACCATTTGGAAGCGGGGGACCACCCCCGGGAGCCCCGATGCACCACCCGCACCATCATCACATCAATAATAACAACAATAATAACAACAATAACAGCAATAACAATAACTGTCCGACGGTGAAGGTGTGCGCGGGGTGTGGCGGCAAGATCGTGGAGCGGTTCCTGCTGCACGCCCTGGACCGGTACTGGCACAACGGCTGTCTCAAGTGCACGTGCTGCGGCGCCATGCTTGCCGACATCGGAGGCTCCTGCTTCACGAAGGCCAACATGATCCTCTGCAAGAACGATTACTACAGGTAGGGCTGGTCCAGTACAAATTAGCCTCATGGTAATCTCTCTTTCCTAAATGTGTGAAACTGAGGGATTATTTCTTGCTGTTTACTCCGACTGAGCCCATGTTCCTGGAGACATGGCTTCGAATCTCAGGAACATTTAAGTATTTCGTCCCTTTAAGGGAAAGGGCTGAGGGAACGATCGTGGGATCTGCTGAACTGAAGGCAGAAACTTCGTCTTCCCCGAGCCTCAGTAATTACAATTTCTGACCAAGAACACAAATGTCTTAATTCCACGTCATCAAATTCAGTATCCTTGATGCAGTCCCATTAAGTGAAGAAGAATTTCTGGAGAGTACAAGCGGTGTCGTGCATAACCTAGTTATTTAACGTTCACGGATTTGTAAATAAATCCCCTTTCTACGTCGTTGCAATGGGGTCTATTGTGTCGGTTTTAAATTGTAAACAAAGGTCGCATCACAAGTTTCATTCATTCATCAGTAATCTGTCAGACGACAGGTCCACAGTCTCTTCCAAAACAGTTCGTCCAATTAATGCGATCTTCTGTTTTTGGAAAGAGACTATCCAGGAAAAGTGATAATGTGGTAGTTTTTCCATTTGCTTTCCACATCGCAGTACAACAGCCGTTCAAACCACTCTGGTCACGCCTGTTGCTATAAGAACTTGAACCATCTCGAGCATCATTTGCTCTGTGCTTCAAGTCGCTGCTGATGACGCTGCTTCCGGCACCAGTTTTTGGTGTCTCTCTTCGTCTGATGCCTACCCTTTGACCTGTCCAGCAAGGGAGGCCCTGCCAGTAGCTACGCTACCGCTGGTATAGCTCTCAGGGTCCTTGGCATACTCAAACCCCTTCACCACGATAAGGTGGAGATCACACCTCTCCCACGAGATCCCCTCTCCCACGAGGGGATCACAAGTTTACCATTGAAAAAAACGGCTACGAAACATTTCCATTTTCAACATCGAGTATGAATGAAAAATTCCTTGAACGCAGGCGTTTCCTCGCCATTCTTTCTCACACTGGGAGTACAACTGACGTTTCGTGAGTGTCACATTTTTAGAGGTGGCTGTACGAGAAGACGAAGAAGCAGTCAACAGTTGCCCAGTTGCACGTGGTTAGCTGTTACACTGATAAGGGAGGAAACAAAGACTTCGATAATACAACAATTCATAAGTAAATGTTGAATTAAATTTTGTTTTCCATCTCTTTCTTCAAGGAATCGTAGCTCAGAGTTGGAAGATACAGAACAAGAGACAGATTATTTACCCAGTTATCACGTTAATGTTAATTGCAGTATTATTAATCGTATTTCATGCTTTAGCCTGTGTTTTTAAGGATGGGGTATTAACTGATGCCTTGGTTCATGAATCAACGTAATTGTAATGAATGTGGTTCATTAATTTCAAGAAGGTATCTCTGAGGGAATACCCACACGCCACTGGAACCATTAGGCAGTAGGGTATAATTATAATTAATAAATAATGAATTTGATCAACGTGTTGCGAGGCAATAGCTATGTAAACACGGTCAAAGACGCAACAATAGAGGACGCTGTGTTTTCTGTAGATACGACGGACGCGCCAATAGACTGGATAGCAATCACGTGATATGCGTTTACTGTAGGTCCATGTCCGTTCCACGGCTATGAAACTAGAGCCGTGATCTGTAAGTTGAGAGCGAATTGCAACTAGAAGTACAGAAGAATTACAAGGCGGCCTGCGAAGACTTAACGTGTGAATAGAATACTTTGTTTATGTGTAATATTTGCAGTGTGTAATTCAGTGAGACTGCTATAGTTCCTTTGTAATAAATTCGTGAAGACCAATGCAGATAGACTGAAGAGATTAGTGTGGAGTGATATTGTAAATTGTGTAACGCAGCAGTAATGCAATAATTATTTGTATTTAGACCTGTAGGTTGTTAATAAATCCAAGTATCAGTCCGAACCCCGTCTTTAGTCACTCTGTGACACGTGACAATGATATAGCTATGATAGGGGGGCGGGTAGTGATTACGCTCTTCATACAGCTTTTGAAGGCACGTGTACGTGACAGCACAAGTGTGGCAGTAGTACCAACTTAACAGCTTAAATTGGATTTATTTAGTGAAATAAATATAGTGAATGCAAATATTAAATTATGTGTATTAGATATCCCAAGGCTTGGAGTTCCGGCAGTACGCTACTTTCCCCACTCTGTGCATGAGAAAGTAATCATTTGTATGTCATAGGGGCCGTAATAGCGACATAAGCCGTTGACCGAACCCAATATTTGGCATTCAGCTTTAGGCCTTCCTGCTGTGTTTCGTATATTTCTCTGGTTATTAGTGTAGGTCGTGCGTTTAGACCTGGCCTCAGGGTCTGGCGTCATTAGTGAGGAGAAATATAGCAAGAAGTAGCGAGGCAGTGGTTGCAACTGCATTTCTGGACGGAAGAATATGACGCGTTTTAAGTAAGACCTTATGTCCGTGGACTCGACCAAATGTACTAGACTAGAGACTGTTGAGAACGGATAAATCTGATAACACGGACACTACCTCACTTCGAAGTCTGTTGCTCGCGATGATGCTGAACATATTTCAGATGTTATATGCCATCTGAGGAGTTGGCGGCAGACACTGAGGGCCTGGATCGTCTCTGAGGAAATCCAATTATTAGGTTGTCACTCGGTACAGAATCAAAATATTTACCTCTAAAATTCGTACCAATGGATATAATCGTAAATACAACCCTTAAATTATTTATTTCACGATGCTATCAGTGTTGAAACTGTATAGCGTCGAACTTGATATTTTCACAATACGAAATTCTAGTTTTCCGGCGGTACTGTGTGCCAACGGGGAATTGAAAAGCTGTACACACAGAATCACTGAACGTTTTCTCTTCTGTTAAATTGAGATTTCCGCGGCTGTCTACGTACATTCCTCAGCAGAAACCTTTCCGATCCCTTGGCCATATTCTGAATATTCTTCGACCTCTGTGTCCATTTCGTTTGTGACGAAATTCAAGTTCTGGGAAGTTGTCATTTGTCCATGCTGTTCAGGTGGGTTAATAATGCTTTTCTATAGACACCTTTCCTTTAAGTCGTTCCATATACATATTTTCGTTTCAAATCTGCACATACCAGACTTATGATATAAAATTCCTGCCCCTTTTTACAAATCACACCGAACAGATCATTTTGAAGCGGGCGGTTGACAAAATTCAGCTGAAGAACGTAAGCCGACTCTCAGTCTGACTATGATTGGGCTATAGGGACAAGTCGTGATGCCTCGGATATGAAACATAAAGAATTCCTCTTCAGATGCTGAGAGAAGAAAGAGTTTGAGTTGTCCCTGGAGGCACTATAGGAGGCACTTTGCTCCATTTGCTGCGGGTTGCAGCTCTCGCATCCTGCCGGGATTCCCCTTGCCAGACGAAAGATATGTGTGGAGCGGTGAAGGTCTCAATCCATACACAGTTCAGGCTATAACGTATCATGAAGTCACATGCAGCAAGAACCATATCCTCCATAACAGCCGGATAAGGCGGGCGAAGCTTGATCAAGTCGGCCGATATGGGTCTGTTGACAGTGTTCTCCTTGTTTTCTTTAGCCCTCGCAGAGAAAAGACGTACGGCGTGGGGATACAAAAGGGTCATAGTGCAGCACCCTCAGGATCTCATCCCACGGGCTAGCCGATCTAGTGCTAAGCTCCTCTTCTGAAACAGTTCCAAGATTTGGGCTGCAAAGTCTTTTCATGGAATAGGTAAACAAACGACGACTTTTAAGCTTCGAGGTTTTGACGGAGGAGACTATGAAGAATGCCGTCTTTTGTGATTTGGCGCCATGTAGATCTTGTGTGAGCCGACGTTTCGGAGGAACGTCGGTTCACGCAGGATATACACGGCACTACATCCAAAGAGACGGCATTCTTCAAATGAGGAATTGTTAATATTCTAACGCTCTTGAGTTATATTCAGAAGTTGCACGGTTTGAATCTCGGTCGGGCTACCTTCGCGTAGCTTATAATTATATTTTCCTGGTCTCCTCATCCCCTCCATGGCTGTCTTGGAATGATATTTTGAAATATGACACTTCCATCCTTCTTGCACTTAACAGCTGACCTCTTCATATGAGCCTCCTGTAGATACAAAATGGGCAGTTGAACTGGCATGCAAAACAAGTGAGGAATCAGACATTCATCAGCAGCGAAGATAAAGTCAGACTGAATTATTTATTTCTTCATTTATTCAAATAAAAATTTAACATATTATTTATTTACTTTAAACCGCTTTTCCTGAAGAATATCTTCGCTAGCCACATCCATTAACAGTGTGTTAGCAGTTTGGGGTGGAACTGGAGACTTTGGACCTGTGTTTGTGCGAGAACAAGATGGCGTCAGGTGGGTTTCTTCAAATGGTTGGCCGTGATGGAAAATCTCGAGTCCAAATAATTCTATAAAGTATCAACCCAGAGGAAAAGGGGCACGAGGTAGCGTAGTTGGTTGAGGGTCTATGCTACAAGCCGGAAGGTCGCGGGTTCAAGTCCCGATGAGGTCATTCTATGGGCTTTCAGGCCTGGTACAGGGATAGCTTTACTTTACTTTACTTTACTTTACTTACCCAGACGAAAGAGAAGCCTAGGACTTCCATGGATGCGATGAAGAGACGAACTCTAAAAAATTCATAATGAGGCCTGTATCTTAAGTATTTAACACTTTTCTGTTTAAACAAATTTTAAATACAATAGAACGCCGAGTATCCGAATTAATTAGTGCCAAAGGTGATTCGGAAAGTGCTTCAAATTCTAATCCACGAATAAAGACTACTATAGCGCCATTTTAATATGCTGTACTACTAAAGAGAAGGGAAAGGTGTTCCTGTCACAGGCCGTGGAGACCCATAGGAGTGTCGAGACGCCGAGGCACCCATATATTCTCTAGACAATCGGCTCACAGATGGAAGTAAATTTGTCAGCCTCACGCGCCGAACGCCCTTTACCCCAAATTGATTCCTGGTAATCAT